CCTGTTCTAGTTGTTTGCTTAGTTCATTTTTGGTTTTGTTTTTTTTAGGTTCAGTTGTTGACAGTTGTGAGATGGTTGTCATTTTACTGTTCATATTTTTTATCTTCTTCTTTTTCTTGGAAGAGTCCTTTTAACATTTCATATAGTAAGGACTGGTGATGATGGACTCCTTTAGCTTGACCTTATCTGGGAAGAACTTTATTTGCCTTTCCATCCTAAATGATAGCTTTCCTGGATAGAGTAATCTTGGATGTAGGTCCTTGCCTTTCATGACTTGGAATACTTTTTTCAGCCTATTCTTGCCTGTAAGGTGTCTTTTGAGAAATCAGCTGATAGTCTTACGGGAACTCCTTTGTAGGTAACTGTCTCCTTTTCTCTTGTTGATTTTAAGATTCTCTCCTTCTCTTTCATCTTGGGTAATGTAATTATGATGTACCTTGGGGTGTGCTTCCTTGGGTTCAACTTCCTTGGGACTCTCTGAGTTTCCTGGACTTCCTGGAAGCCTATTTCCTTTGCCAGATTGGGAAATCTGGTATTATGTGTTCATTGTGAATACATAATGAAGAAGAAATCTCCTTCATTATGTGTTCAAATAAGTTTTCAATTTCTTGGTCTTCCTTTTCTTCTTCTGGCACACCTATGACTCAGATGCTGCAATGTTTAAAGTTGTCCTAGAGGTTCCTAAGCCTCTCCTCATGTTTTTGAATTCTTACTTGTTCATTCTGTTCTGGTCAAATGTTTATTTCTTCCTACTGGTCCAAGCTGTTGATTTGAGTCCCAATTTCCTTCCTGTCACTGTTCAATTGTTCCCTGTGCATTTTCCTTTCATTCTTTTTGCATAGCCTTCACTCTTTCTTCTATTTTGTGACCATACTCAACCATTTCTGTGAACATCCTGATTATCAGTGTTTTGAAGTCTGCATCTGATAGGTTGCCTATCTCTTCATGGCTTAGTTGTATTTTTCCTGGAGCTTTGATCTGTTCTATTATTTTGGCTGTATTTCTTTGTCTCAGCACACCCGTTATGTAGTAAGAGGTGGAGTCTTAGATATTCACCAGGTTGCAGAAACCCTTTTTGCTACATTGTTGTGCTGTACATGTGGGAGGGGTCTAAGAGGGAGCAGTGCTACTTGCTCAGCTCTTACCCTGCTTTCTGTCACTTTAGTCATTCCTCACAAGCAGATTGTGCCCTTTCAGGTGCTGATTCCTGGTTGGGTGGCTTTGTGTACATCCAAGGACCCTGTGGGCCTTTTCAATGGACTCTTCTGTGAGACTGGGAATTTCTCCTACCACAGCAACCCCTGTAGGGATTTACAGCTAGAGGTTTTCAGTCTTTATTTCACAGCACTGAAATCCTGGATTTCATGGTCTGTCTCACTCCTGTTCTTCCTTATTTATCCCCACACAAATGTGGGACCAACGGGTTAGCCAGCCCCCACCTTTGCCTTGCCACACATCCTCTCTGCCTCCCCAGCTGTCCATCTCCTGCCAGTTTGGATGAATGTTTCTTTTAACTCCCTAGTTGTCAGAGTTCTGTGCAGTTTGATTTTCTGGCATTTCTGGTTGTTTTCTGTTTTTAAAATAGTTGTTATCCGTCCTTTGGCTGTGCAAGAAAGCTAAGCATTTCCAGCTACACACCCATCATGGCCAGAACTGGCTTGTACCTTTTAAATGTCTGTTTATTATTTTCTGAGAACATTCTTAGTTTTAGTTTTTGGAACAAGAGCTCATCTTGTGTTTTTCCCTCCCTTGTTTTGGAATTAGGCACTTTTCCAGTGAGTCCTCCTTACATTCTCTAGTGGGTAATGGCATTTTAAAACAATAATGAAGTGCCATTGCTTCTAAGCCCTTACAACAAAGCTAGAAGTGTATATGTGTGTGTGTGTGTGTGTGTGTGTGTGTGTGTGTGTGTGTATGTTTGAGAGAGAGAGGGAGAGAAAAGCATACACAAGAGTGCATGTGTAAAAAATCCTTGAGTTTATATTGTACTTCCAATTCCAGTCTAGCTCCTAGGAGTCCTTGTTTGTCTTTCATTTTTCTGTATTTTTTCTCTCCCTTTTTTTATTTTGAGAACCTGGCTCCCAACAGCATTAATATTATATACTCATTTTCTGAATCTTAAAATATACTCAAAAGAGTTCCAGAATTACTAGACCCATACCAATACAACAAGTAACATTTGTTCATGATTATTTGCTGGGGTGTTTTTTCTTTATATCAAGGTAATATGGTTGAAGCACATTCTTCAAAAGTTACTTGGATTAGTTCTTTTTCTTCTCCCCTCAGTGATTTTATTAATTTGAAATAGAATTAGGTTCATTTGTTTCTGTTATCATTCAGTCTTAGTATTTACCTCTCTCTGCATCCTTTTAAAAAACATTTAATTTTTTTAATGTGGAATTTTAATGTGATTCCCAAAGTCCCAACCATAAGGTGTACTCTGAGGAGCTGATTTGCTCCCTAGTCTCTTCATCTTATCTCCATACCTCTAATAGATAGTCAGTTCATTTGTTTTTGGTTTATTCCTCTATTTATTTTTGCAAAAACATGAGGATGCATGAGTGTTTTCTTTTTCCCGATATGCTTGTATAAAAGGTAATCTGTGTATGCTATTTTGTATTTTGCCATTTCTACCTAAAAATATATTTTGGGAGTTACTTCATATCAGTTTGCAGGGATCTTCATTCTTTTTCACAGTGTCATAGCACTTCTTTATGTGTATGTGCACAGCTTAGCCAGCAAAGAACCCATATTGGACATTGGAATAGTTTCTGATCTCTTGAAAGCACAAATAATACTGTAATTAATAACCTTGCACATAATGTGTTTTATGTCATTGGAGGTGTGTCTTAAAAATAAATACCCAGAAGTGGGATTGCTGTATCAGAGAATCAATGCATTGTTGCTTTGTTAAATATACTGTATTGTCATATTTCCCTCTATAGGAATTGTTTCATTTTGCATTAACACCAGAATTATATGACTGTTTCCCTATAGCCTCCTTTTTCATAGTGTCTTATGCATAATCAAATGACCTTGTTGGGTGAACTGCAGAAGTTGGGGGCTGAAGTAGAAGTATTGACACACATTTGAGTTTTTGCCAACCTACATGGGTGAGAAATGACATCTCAATGTTTAAGTGGTGTTTTTCTTACTAGGAGTAAAGTTGAATCTCTTTTCTTAATTTTAGAAAAAATTATTTTAAATCTACTGTATTGAGGTTTAATTTACATATAATGAATTCACCTTTTTAAAGCATTCAATGAGTATTAACAAAATACACATCTGTGAAACCACCATCATACTCAATCTGTGTTTATATCTATCTATATCCATATACTACATCTATCTGTTTATAGTGGTTGTGTTTGGTTTGGTATTTTGGGTTGTAGTTCTACTGGTTTTAAGAACTGTATAGACTGAATGACCAGGAACGTGGTCATTCATAAGAACGTGGCTGTCGCACCAAACACTTTCATCATCCCCCAGATTACCTGGTGTCACTACTCGTAGTGAGTCCCCATCCCAATCTAATCTTTAGCAGCAGTTAATCTTTTCTCCACCCCTACACTTTTGCCTCTTCCACAATATCATATACATTGACTGGATTCGTTAAGTGTATAATCAATTGGGATTGTTTCTTTTACTCAGCATAATGTCTTTGAGATTCAGCCCCATGTTTTTGTATGTGACCAGTAGTTCATTTTATTGTTCTGTGGGAAGTCTACAGACTATTTTTTTTTCTTCAAATAACTTTTCAGAAGTGCATTTGTTTGTCTTTTTCTGGAATATAAATGACAAATATTAAACATTTTCCTACTGATCCCTGAGGCTCTATTCTCTCCCTTCCTCTTCTCTTGTTCAGGTAGAATGTAAAACACACACACACACATACACAATAGGGTAATTCCTCTGCTCTGTTCTGTAGAGACCTCTGACTCCTGCTCCTCAGACCAGGCAGGTGAGGCTTATTTGCACCCAGTGTGTAGACCCACATTTCTGGTTTCAGGCTGTCTCCGAGTCCAGGTTGGGATATAGCAGAGGAGGTAAAAAAGCAGGAAAATTTTGGCTGGCTTAGTGGCATTTAAGGGTTCCACTGTCAGTCTGCTGGGTTATTCCTCTGGCCCTTAGGTCATTTGTCTGTGAATTCCATCTAGGATTTTTCTAAAAGATTTTATTTATTTTTAGAGAGAGGCAGGGAGAGAGTACAAGAGGGAGAGAAATATCAATATGCAGTCGCCTCCTGTGTCCGCGCCACTGGGGACTTGGCCCACAGCCCAGGCATGTGCCCTGACTGGGAATCAAACTGGCAACCCTTGATTCACAGGCTGGTGCTCAATCCATTGGGCCACACCAGCCAGGGCCTGTCCAGGAGTCTTAATTGTATTCAGTGGGAGAGACAGAATAAAGTCTATTTACCCCAAAAGACTCTTCATCAATAAGCTCCCTTGAGACAGTTTAAGTGGAAGATTATTCAGACAAAGATAATTCTTCAAACAGGAATGAAACAATCAGTGAAGAATGTGGATAAGCTAGATTTTTCCCCATTTCTTCATCTGTTACCAAACATGTTCCTTAAACCAGCCTTCTAGTATGTTTTCCACATTCTGATTTTAAAATTTAGACATTTGAACACGATATTTTGTAAGTACAGATTTCAAAACCAATGTTTTCTTTTTGATATTAGTTTTTAAAGTGCTACAGACATTTTGATGCGTTATCTGTACCTTTTGACTGAGTGAATGTGACTTATGGTTCTGATAACTGTCATTTTTAGTAAAATTTGTAATTATTATCAACTGGTCCTCATAAAACCCAGATAGTATGAGAGCAGATTGGCCTTTGTGTTGGCCCTTTCAAGTGAGTAACCTTTCATATTAAATTTATAATAAATGTTGGTGCAGGTAAACACTAGCCATATAACATAATTCTTTATCTTTCCCCAACACCTTCATTTTGTTTTAAAGTTTTTTCTTGTTTATTTATTTTTGTGTTCACAGATCTTTTCACGGATGCTGCTGAGACTGAAAAAATGGCCAAAAGTTTGGAGGATTCTGAAGGAGTTTATTTTGTTCCATCTTTTAGTGGATTGCAGGTATGTAAAAAATATCTAATGGCAATTAAATATTTTCTCTTCATACCCACACCTAAAATTATGTACCTATCACTTTTTTACCTGAAAATTTGGGCACTCAACAGAACTACAGTGAAAGGTACATTCTAGAGCTGAGAAACTATGATTTAACCTAGTATGAATTCCATCAAAGAGCACAGGAAATTCATCTGGCTTTTGCTTAGAACTTTATCTCTGTGGAAACTAAAGTTGGCAGGTTTATCATAGAACTTTTACAGAAGACCTAGGATTACTTTTTTAAGATAAAAAGATTTTATTTTTTATTTTTTAGAGAAAGGGCAAGAGACGGAGAAAGAGATGGAGAGAAACTTTGATGTCCAAGAGTAACATCCATTGGTTGCCTCTTGCATACCTCTAACCTGTGAGCTAGGCGCAACCCAGGCACGTGCCCTGACTGGGAATCAAACTGGCAACTTTTTGTTTGTGGGATGATGCTCAACTCTCTGAGCTACACCAGTCAGGGCATACTTAGGATTATTTTATCATGACCCAAATAGTCATTTCCCAGTGGAGGGAAATATATCAGTGCTTAGAGGAAGTGCATCATTGACATTTAGAAAAATAATGGAAAGGTACACACATGTGTCCCCCTCCACATCTGTATATGTATATTTTGCAGTTCTTTATAAGTTCTATTAAACATTTTTTATTGTTGTTCACATACAGTTGTCTCCATTTTCACCCCACCGTGGCCCTCCACCCCACCCATCCTCATCTTTCCCCCTTGAACCTACCCCCTTTGGCTTTGTCCGTGTGTCCTTTATACATGTTCCTGGATGGCCCTTCCCCTATTATCCACCATTATCTCTTTCCCCCTCCCCTCTGTTTGCTGGCAGTTTGTTCTTTATTTCATTTAAAAAATTTTTTATTTTAATTGTTGTTCAAGTACAGTTTTCTGCATTTTACCCCTAGCCATCCCTCCCATTTCCACACCCTTCCCTTGTTAATTGTCCATGTGTCCTTCATACTTGTTCCTAGAAACCATTCACCCTTTTCCCCTTCAATTTCCTCCCCTCTCCCCTCTGATCACTGTCAGCCTGTTCTCAATTTCATTGTCTTTGGTTATATTTTGCTTGTTTGTTTGTTTTGTTGATTAGGTTCCTGTTAAAGGTGAGATCATATGGTATTTGTCTTTCACCGCCTGGCTTATTTCACTCAGCATAATGCTTTCCAGTTCCATCCATGCGGTTGCGAAGGGTAGGAGCTCCTTCTTTCTCTCTGCTGCATAGAATTCCATTGTGTAAATGTACCATAGTTTTTTGATCCATTCATTTACCGATGGCAGGCACCTAGGTTGCTTCCAGCACTTGGCTGTTGTAAATTGTGCTGCTGTGAACATTGGGGTGCATAGGTTCTTTTGGATTGGTGTTTTAGGGTTCTTAGGATATAATCCTAGCAGTGGAATTGCTGGGTCAAAAGGCAGATCCATTTTTAGTTTTCTTAGAAAATTTCATATTGTTTTTCATAGTGGTTGTACCAGTCTGCAATCCCACCAACAGTGGACTAGGGTTCCCTTTTCTCAACATCTTATCCAACACTGGTTAGTTGATTTGTTTGTGTTGGCCATTCTGACAGGTGTGAGTTGGTTTTCATTGTGGTTTTAATTTGCATCTCTCTGATGGCTAGTGATGCTGAGCATCTTTTCATGTGTCTCTGGGCCCTCTGTATGTCCTTGTTGGAGAAGTTTCTGTTTAAGTCCTTTGCCCATTTTATAATTGGGTTTTTTGTCTTCCTGAAGTGGAGTCGTGTGAGTTCTTTATATATTTTGGAGATTAAACTCTTGTCTGAGGTATCATTGGCAAAAATATGTTTTTCTATACATTGGGTTCTTTTTTTGTTTTAATACTGTTTTTATTAGCCGTGCAGAAGCCTTTTGTTTTGATGAGATCCCATTTGTTTATTCTTTCCTTTATGTCCCTTGCTCTAGGGGACATATCAGTGAAAATGTTGCTGTGTGAAATATCTGAGGTTTTCCTGCCTATGTTCTCCTCTAGGACTTTAATTGTGTCATGACTTATATTTAAATCTTCTGTTCACCTTGAAATTATTTTTGTGTATGGTGTAAATGGGTGCTTAAATTTCATTTTTTTGCATGTAGTTGTCCAGATCTCCCAACACCATTTGTTGAAGAGGCTATTTTTGCTCCATTTTATGTTGCTGCCCCCTTTATCAAATATTAATTGACCATAGACACTTGGGTTTATTTCTGGGCTCTCTGTTCTGTTTCATTGGTCTAGCTGTCTGTTTTTATGCCAGTACCAGGCTGTTTTGATTACAGCAGCCTTGTAATACAGTTTGGTATCAAGTATTGTGATCCCTCCTACTTTGTTTATTTTTCTCAAAATTGCAGCAGCTATTCAGGGTCATTTATGGTAAATTAGTTACAGGAGTTCAAAATTTAAAAGTCTGGATCATAGAATTTAGAACCTGGTGAGAAACAATTAGATCAGAATGCTTTAAATCTCTAAAATCACCATATTTCCAAACTAGATTTTTAAATGAGCGTTACTTTAATATCCGTGATAATTATCTTTTTAATATATATTTTATTGATTATGCTATTACAGTTGTCCCATTCCCTCCTCCCCCCCCCCCGCTGTTTTGCATCTCCCCTCCCACCCACATTACCCTTTTTAGTTCATATCCATGGATCATACATATAAGTTCTTTGGCTTCTATGTTTCTTATACTATTCTTAACCTCCCCTGTCTATTTTGTACCTACCTTTTATACTACTTATTCCCTGTACCTTTTTCCCCATTCTCCCTCCTCCTTCTTCCCACTGATAACCCTCCACGTGATCTCCATTTCTCTGACTCTCTTCCTGTTCTAGTTGTTTTGTTAGTCTGTTTTTGTTTTTTTAGGTTTGGTTGTTGATAGTTGTGAGTTTGTTGTCATTTTACTGTTCATATTTTTGATCTTCTTTTTCTTAGATAAGTCCCTTTAACATTTCATATAATTAAGGCTTAGTGGTGATGAACTACTTTAACTTGACCTTATTTGGGAAGCACTTTGTTTGCCCTTTTGTTCTAAATGATAGCTTTGCTGGATAGAGCAATCTTAGATGTAGGTCCTTGCCTTTCATGACTTCCAATACTTCCTTCCAGCCCCTTCTTACCTTCAAGATATCTTTTGAGAAATTAGCTGATAGTCTTATGGGAACTCCTTTGTAGGTCACTGTCTCCTTTTCTCTTGCTGCTTTTAAGAGTCTCTCGTTCTCTTTCATCTTGGGTAATGTAATTATGATGTGCCTTGGTGTGTGCTTCCTTGGGCTCAACTTCTTTTGGACTGTCTGATCTTCCTGAACTTCCTGGAAGCCTATTTCCTTTGCCAGATTGGGGAAGTTCTTTATTATTTGTTCAAATAAATTTTCAATTTCTTGCTCTTTCTCTTCTCCTTCTGGTACCCATTATTCAGATGTTAGAATGTTTAAAGTTGTCCTGTAGGTTCCTAAACTTCTCAGTTTTTTAAATTCTTGTTTCTTCATTCTGTTCTGGTCGAATGTTTATTTTTTCCTTCTGGTCTAAACCATTGATTTGAGTTCCAGTTTCCTTCCTGTCACTGTGCATTAGTTCCCTGTGCATTTTTCCATAAGTCTCTTTTCATAGCCTTCACTCTTTCCTCTATTTTGTGACCATATATAACCATTTCTGAGAACATCCTGACTATCAGTGTTTTGAACTCTGCATCTGATAGGTTGCCTATCTCTTCATGGCTTAGTTGTATTTTTCCTGGAGCTTTGGTGTGTTCTATCATTTTGGCTGTATTTCTTTGTCTCAGCACACCTGTTATGTAGTAAGAGGTGGAGCCTTAGGTATTCTCCTGGGCAGGGCAACCCACCTCCCTGAGTTGTGGCACTGTATGTGGTGGAGGGGTCAGAGAGGGAACCATTCCACCTGCTTGGCTCTCCAAGGCTTTCAGTCACTTTCCCCAGTACCCACAAGCAAATCAGGCCCTATTGGTGCTGATTCCTGGGTGGGTGGTTAGTGTATATGCTAGGACTCCATGGATCTCCCCAGCAAACTCTCTAGTGAGGCTGGGAGTTTCCCTGGCCACCACAACTCCCACAGGTTTTTTTAGTCAGAGGTTGTGAGGCTTTATTTCCCTGCACTGGAACCCTGTGTTTCATGGTCTGTCTCACTCCCCAGTTGTTCCCACCAGTTTATCCACACTCAAATGTGGGGCCGCCTGCTCTGCCAGCTGCTGCCTTGCTGGGAGTCCTCTCTGCCTGGCTGCCCATCTCCACCCCTCCTACCTGTCTGGATGAATGTTTCCTTAACTTCTTAGTTGTCAGACTTCCACACAATTTGATTTTCTGGCAGTTCTGTTTTTATTTTTTAATTGGTTGTTGTGCCTCTTTTGGTTGTGTGAGGAGGCACAGTGTATCTACCTATGCCTCTATCTTGACCAACCACCCTTTTCTTTAATATGCTGTATTCTGAACTTTATAAACTGTCTATGGAGTGTGCATTGCTTCCTTTTCAGGATGATGTGAAGCGACTAGAATATTATACAGGACAGGACAGGAATTGAAGCAGATTTGTGTGGCTGAAGTTTAAGGAGGAAGATTAGATGCATAGTAATCACAAAGGTAGGATTTACTTAGGTTACTCTTCTTCCCATGTTTAAAAGTGTGCTGGTAGACTTCGTGACTTTATTTTGGCAACTTTGTGTTCCACTTTTCCATCAATTCATATACCCGTAAAAATCATATGTAATAAAAACATGAAGTATTGCTGAAGCTCAGAAGCTTAGAGAAAACTCTTACAGATGAGGGTTTCAATTTCATGTTGATAACAAAATGTCCCTGTTCTGTCATGATTGCACCCTGGCAATGTGTTAGGGTGGGGAGGGGAGAGGGAAGCCTGCGAAGCCCAATACTTTCCAATGTAAAATGAAAGTCCAAACTGAAGCCAAAAGGTGCTTCAAAGAACAATAGTGTGTTGATGGTAAGCTGTTTGGTACATAGGAGAGATTGTCTATAAGCTGTCTATAACAACAACTAGAGAAAATGAGGGATAGGGGATGGAAAGGAAGGAAGAGACAATTATCTGTGATACTTTTAGAATATTGTCACTGCTATGGATAATGGAGGGCAGGATGTTAAAAGCTCCTCATCACCTAAAATCTCAAGAAAGTCCACTAAGAAAGGGTCATCAGGGAAACTTTGAGGCGAGTGAGGGTGTCTGGGACAGCCACTTCAGGGAATGGCAGAAGGGGTGGGTGGGAGCACCCGTACGCGGGGTGGCATCGACTGGTCATTGTGGCTTTGCTCTAGCAGGGCTGTGGTCTGGGGAGAGGGATACTCAGAGTGTTCCTGAGAGGTATCAGAGGCTAGAATCTGTGGTTGTGTACTTGACATTAAAGTTATTGTGATGGTGGCAGGAGTAGAGTGGACAGGACTGTGAGCCCAGTGCCAGTCTTCCATCTGGGGGACGAGTTCTGCCGTATAAAAACAGACTTATTTCAGCGCCCCCTGAGGGGACTTGCTTTGTTCACGTCCTCCTGAGGACTGGCATTAGAGAAGAGCTGGCAACTAGCTTTGCAGTTCGGAGTGTTCTTTGTGGTTCCTGTTTCTCTGTGGGTCTGCTTTTCTCAGTATCAGCTTTGCTCTGTATCCTTTTTTCCTCATAACTTCAGCTCAACTGTCATTATTTCCTCATGCTTTCTGCTTCTTCACAATTTGTAAATACAGACAACAATTTTCCACCTTGTGCATCTTTTTAGTTTTATCCACTAGTTCCCATTGATGGTCCTTTTCTCAGCGGTTCCTAGTTCAGATCTCCAGGAAAGGGAATCTGATAGGACTGCCTTGTTTTTTCAAGCCTTAAACAGACTTTGAGTCAGGTGTGCTCACTCCTTACAGTTGTGGTAGTGGCGGTGGGACTAGGGCATGAGACTTGGCTGTTTTAGAAAACGGGGCCTGTGAGTTCAAACAGTTTCCTTAGGATGTACATGGCCAGCAAGTACTGTGAATGCCATCTCTGGTTCTGTGGGCAACTGCAGTGTCTGAGCAGTGGGAAGGTGAAGGGAAGTACAGCATGATGTTGATGTGGACCTCAACACGTATGTGCAGGAGGGCAGTGTCTGCTAACAGCAGATACACAGTGGCCTAGAGTGGTTGGACAGGTTAGTACAATTTCCCTCTGGTACCTGTGCTGTGCAAGCCTGGGAACCTGCACCGAATAGCTATGGCTGAAGCCACTGGCCCAGCTCAGAGCCATGTTTGTTACAGCAACCACAAAATATGTGTAGGGAGCTTCTCAGAATTGGTTATGGGTTTGGGGAATTTATTTAACAATAGAAAGATGCATTCAGAGGTGCAGTGAAAAGGTTATGAAGAAAGCAGTAGTGGGAAGGGTTTGGGTAAAAAAATAGTAGTAATAATAAAAAAATAAAAATTATAGTGGTAGCTAACCTCACTATGAATTTGCACTCTGTCCTAAGTTCTCTACATGCATTATCTCATTTACTTCTCAGTAACTCAGCAAAATGCAAGATGTTCTCATCTCTTTCTGAAGAGCAGGAAACTTAAGATTTAGGGTTGTTAAATCACTCGTCCAGTCTCACACAGCTGCTGAGGGGCAGATCTGATTTTAGGATCCAACGTCTGTCTCCAGAGCCCATGTTACAATCACTGCCACACCAGTTCATGGTGGAGCATAAACACTATGATGACAGAAGTACCACAGGTGCCAGGGGAGCACGCTTTTCAGGTCTAGGCTGACTAGGACAAAAGGCAGTGTCACATTAACCATCCTGCAAGTCCCGGCAGGTTAGGCCGATATCGATCTCACTGGTGAAAGTGGCCTGCTGGGGGCAGATAGTCTGTGCCCTGGGCAGAGTCTACTCGTTTTGCCTAAGGTGCCAAACAGAACTTGGCTGAGTCTTGCTGTTCCTAGTTGGCTGACGGTTCTGGGAGGCTCACTCAGTGGGATCAACAATGACATATTAGAGGTGTGGCTGGACGCTGTCTGCCCTGGCAAGTTGTGACCAGTCCCTGAAAAGGACCTGACCAGTGTTTCTTCTACCATATCATCCCAAAGAGAGATTTACTTGGACTAATACAGAGACATTGTAACCTATAAGGACATTTTTAAGTTTCTGTGGACTTCATTGCTCCTCAAATGGGCCTGTTATTAATGGTAAGTTATATTCATAGTTATTTATACAAAAATTATTTCAGGACACGTATACCAGCATTTTATGGGGTACATCAGAAGAAGTAGTTTTTATGCAAAGGAACCCCATAGCATACTAGGGACTACATGAACTGGCAGAGTCTGACCTATCTTTGTTTTAGACGATTATATCACCTGATGATAAAGACCAGCTTTCCTGTGTAAATCAACTTTTACTGAGTGAATCATCAAAAGATGTTATTGAATTAGGAAATTATCTAGATAAACTCACAATAGGAGGAAAAATCAGAGCTATAGTAAAGATAAGATGTAATGTAGAATTTCTTCAGTTAAGTAAGTAAAAAAACATGATTTGTTCCTTGATTCAATAAATGCATATTAATCAACAGGTGGGTATTGATCCCCTGTGGAGAGCCTGGTACAGTGCTAAATGCAGTTTCAACAATCACACAAATATATGTAATTATAAACTATGGCACAGGATAGGAAGGAAGTTAGAGGCTTCCATAAAGAAATATGTAATTGGAGATGTGGTCTGCTGTGTGCGGTCAGGAGCTTTACCCAGAGGAAGCTGAGCAAATTTGGAAGGGAGTGGGGTTAACTGGGAGAAGAGGCAGGAGGTAGTGTTCTGGGTAAACAGGGCATATGTCAGTGCTCTGCCAGGTAGCAGGCCCCTCTTCGAGGAACCATCAGTTCCTGGCAGCACCCGCATGTCTCTGTCACAACCTTATGTAGTAGGTGTGTTGGAACTCTTCTGTTTTGTTTTGTTTACAATTTTATTTATTTTTAGAGAGAGGGGCAGGGAGGGGGAGAGAGAGGGAAACACCAGTGTGTGGTTGCCTCTCTCATGCCCCCCACTGGGGACTTGGCCTGCAACCCAGGCATGTACCCTGACCGGGAATTGAGTCCATCATCCTCTGGTCTGTAGGCTGGTGCTCAATCCACTGAGCCACACCAGCCAGGGCAAGATTTTGACTCTTTTCAAGACAGATGTTAGGCTGGGTCATTTCTCGTCCTAGGCAATAAGACTATTAGCTAAGAAATTGAAGACCTTAGTAAGTTATAACACTGAAAAACACATTTTTTTTTGCATTACTGTGCTTTTTCTTGAGTCTAATTTATGCCCTCAAAAAGCTACTTTACTTAGTAAACAATTTCAGTGTAGAAACTTTACAGCTGGAGAAAAGGAAGGAATACCAGGATTGCTTCTCATTTCCCTCATTTATAAAGCTAGGCCTTTAATAAGTTGTTACTCTGTGTTTCAGTCCCTTTCCTTGGTATGAGCTCAAACACAAGGGTCAGCTGAGCCCCATATCAGTGACTCAGACTTGCTTAAGTCCTGTTGAAAAGTTATCATAATATTTCATACATTTTTGGGCTATCATTTATTTTAAAACTGCTTTTATAGGGATTTCTTTTTAAAAAAATGGTCATGCCCTTATTGTATACTATGTCTTTAAGTCTACAGATGTAATTGAGAACAATAATAATATATTCTTACTATCTCTTACTTCAGGTTCCATTAAATGACCCCTGTGCGTGTGCCTCTTTCATGGGTTTGAAGCCTTCCACTAGTAAATACCATCTTGTACGAGCAATATTGGAGTCTATAGCTTTCAGGTACCAGAACCTGCTCTAAACTCCATTCTCCCCTGTTTTTGTATTGCCATTTTCTTTTATTAATTTCTATGAAACTGGAAATTTCTTAATATTAATTGAGGGTTTATACATTTAGTTGAATTCATGCTATATTTGACATAATATGTTCTAACTGCTAATTTTCATAGCACCTCTTTTCATATTAAATAGTACCAGTATCACTTAGATTTGATCTCTGAAAATATAATGATTCTTTATTTTTAAAAAATATTTTATGTATTTATTTTTAGACAGAGGGGATGGAGGGAAGGAGAGAAACAGAGAGAGAGAGAAAGAGAAACATTGATGTGAGAGAGAAACATCAATCAATTGTCTCTTGAACTTTCAACCCAGGCATGTGTGCTGACCAGAATCAGACTGGTGACCTTTTGCTTTGCAGGATGATGCCCAACCAACTGAGCCACATTGGTCATGGCAGTTTAATAATTTTTATTTATTTTTTGAAGAGTTTATTTATTTTTAGAGAGAGGGTAAGGGAGAGAGAAAAAGAGGGAAACATTAATGTGAGGTTGCCTCTCATGCGCCCCCTACTGGGGACGTGGCCCACAACCTGACTGGGAATTGAACCAGCAACCCTTTGGTTCACAGGCCTGCATTCAGTCCACTGAGCTACACCAGCCAGGGCAATTTAATGATTTAAAAAAAATGTATCCAACTTCCTAAGCATTAGAGATTCAAAATTTGGACTTTCAAAGGTTTTTGTATCTTTATTCATAAAGGAGAATTTGAATATGCTTCTGTGAGACTCCAAGATTGAATCATCAGAATTAATCTTCATGTATATTTTTTTGTTCTTTTTGTGACGGGGTAGTTGTAGCTTATTAAAACTAACAATGTGCCTGTCATAAATATGGAACATTTTAATGTTTAACATTTTCTGTGATTGTGAAATGATTATTTTTTCATTTGGTGAATTCTATTAGATGTTATTTATGGCATGTTTCTTAATAGCTATCTATTAAATGGATTCTGGCTTTATACTTTTATTTGTAGAAACAGTTATAGATAAAATTCAGTTCAAAAATAAAAATTATGCTTTTTTGTATCAAGGTGAAAAGCACAAGGCCCAGAACTTCTTGTGTGAGCATCTGTTATCTACTTCCAGTTAGCATAATGTATTTCTGTAATACTTTTTTGCATATTTTATATATATCATGGAAACAAAACCACAGTTTTTAGGTTTCCAGCTTAGAAGAAATAGAGATGACCATGATTTCAATTTCCTCTAAATAGCTACCTTGTTTTTTTAACTAGAAACAAACAGTTGTATGAGATGATGCAGAAAGAGATTCGCATTCCAGTAACAAAAATTCGGTATGTAAACTTTGTGTCTAATAATTTAATTAGGAATTAGAAGTAAGTGGTAGCTGCTATTAGTATTTTCATCATTATGGTTATTAAAGATTTCAAAAAGAACTTAAACCTAGTTTCTTTGCAACAAAATTCTTAGTCATAGAATTTAGAGAGGAAAGTGGATTTTGGATTTATGGAAAATATAACACAATTTGGAATTTGGGAGGATCCTAGCACCCATATGTATATTATAAAAATCTTTAAAATCTCTTTTTTGGATATGTGGTTATTCTTTTGGCACAGAAGTGTCACATTGTCTTTGCTAGAGTGTCCAAATTAATTCTTACATTGGCTTGGTCCGCTTAGACTGTTTTGGACTAGTCCCAGGACAAGCAGAGCAGGTGGGAAGACCGATGGCAGGAGTAAGGAAAGATGTTTCAAGATTGCTTAGTAAGGTCCTCAATGTGAAGTGATATAATTTTAGAATTAAAAAGTAAAACCAAAGACCTAAAAAAATGTGAGCTTTTTTAAAAATAATATTTTCGTGCTTTTGTTACGGTGATTTATCTCAAATGTCTTGCTCCCCACAGGGCAGATGGAGGAGTTTGTAAGAACGGTTTTGTAATGCAGATGACTTCAGACCTGATTAATGAGGATATAGACAGGCCCGTCCACCTTGACATGTCGTGCCGAGGTGCAGCTTTTCTCGCTGGCCTTGCTGTTGGTATGTGTGGGTTTTATAAAAATGAGAGCTGTGTTGCAAACTGTTTCTTACAGATAGCATTTCTCCTTCCAAACTAGGAAGTTATAGAGATGGTCTGCAAAACCTCAGTGTCCACTAAGCTCCATAAGCATATGCACACGACTCACAAAGTGCGCCCTTGACCTGCTCTGTGGGTGGGTCTCAGGCATCTATTTCAGCCTTCACTCCTTCAGTCCTGAAAATGAGGTGAGGACAGCCAGTTCTCAACTGCTTTGGTCTTTAGCAAGGCAAGGTCTCTGGGTAAACTTTCTGAGTAAACAAGCGTGTCTGTGGCATTGGAAAGAACTCCATTGTTTTATTTATCTAACATTTGTTGAGCACCCTGCTTGCTACATGACAGTCACTGCTGGGAATATAGAGTTTAAAAGACATAGCCCTTGCTATAGGAGTGTCTGATGTGAACAGAGAGGTCAACTGATTTTTAAACTTGATGTGAAAAAGCAGCAAACAGCTATGGTGTAGCTCTCCTAGGGGAGGCAACATGGAGCTCAGTTCCGAAGGGGCTAACAGACAGCCAGGTGAGAGGGTAAGAGGGGAGCTGTCCAACAGGGGAAAAGGTAAGTGTCGGTATGATGTGAGCAAGAGGGAGGCTGGGCAGGTACACAGAGGGCCAGGTGTGGTGGATTCCTCAGAAAGAGGAGTCTGGGCTTAATTGTCAAGGCACTGGACAGCCACTGAAGAATTTGAAGCAGGAGAGGCACATGGACAGATCTTCAACTGAACACATCATTTTGGCAGTTAGCGAGAGGGTTAATTTGGAGGGGTAGAGAACGGAAGTGCAAGGCCAGGTAGTGGCTCCTCTGGAAGCAGGATGATGCCTATGTTTCCATATGAAGGGAAGGAGTATTTGTGCAGAATAGAATTTTGTTTGCATTTGTACCCAAGGACATGTTTCCACTGAGTCTTTTAGAGAGATAGAAAGAGAGAGACAGAGAGACAGAGAAACATCATTTGGTTGCCTCCTTTATGTGCCTGAACTGGGGATCGAACCTGCAGCCTTATGGTACTCTGGACTATATGCTCCAACCAAGTAAGCCACACAGCCCAGGACAGAGGAGAATATTTTAAAGTTACAAGTTTTGGCTACTATTTAGCCTAGTAAACTTACAAATCCAAAAAGTATGAAATCTTGGTAAGTTCTACTTAAACTTTATTTTATTAAAAATCTTTAACTTAGATAAAATTAGTACAGTCATTTTCATTTGACTAATATTTGATTATTCAGGTTTACAAAATAACTTTCCCTTAAATAATAATTTCCGTTTATCACTTTAAAGTTTCTTGTATATTTTAACCCTGAAAATTTTAATATAGTTGATTTTTAATAATGATTTCACATAACTGAGCAATCTTAGAACTGTTGTTACAAAGAAAATATTCTAAAGTATTTAAACAATTCTTGCAAAGTGAATAAATTATGCTTATGACTAGAGTAAATCAAATTCTCATAACATTCTTTTATTATTTATAAGAATCAAATTTGTCTATACTTTCTGGCTCATAAGAATAAATATGTCAGATTCTCTTGAACATTTAAAATACTTTAAATAACAAACACATGCAGATTATTCATACATATAACATAGCAGCCTGAGTTTTATCTGCTTCATTTTATCTATATTTATAATTTTAAGCCTTTCTAATATTGTATTATGACATTTTACTAACCACAGGGAAGCAGTTTTTACTTTTTCAGAACAGCTTCTCTTTCAGAAATTTGAGACTGAAGGCTATGCATGTTCTCTGTGTTTTCAAAATTCACTCAGAAACTGAGTCTATTCAATACATATTTAATAAAATGACTTTAAAAATATATATGTCTTACTGTAAATAATAGGTTCTGGAAATAAGGATTTAGAACATATTTCTTTTTATGGCTAGACTTATCTAAATGTAGTGTACTAATTAAAGCTATATTTAGTCTTTTTAAAACTTCTATTAATATGTTTAAATATAGAGTCTAAAATCCTAACTTTGCAAATAGAAAGACTGTGACCTGACAGAAAATTTAGAATTTTATGCGTCAGTTTTATTGGTAGGTGAAAATGTACGTCACAAAGACTTGTCTACTATAGTGTTTCAGAGTAAGTGAGATGTACCGAGTTTATCAAAAGACACCTCTACCACTTCAGACTGCTGATCACCATAGTTATGTGTTTTCTTGCTGCTTATTATAAATCACCTGATTCTCTTTGTAAAGAACAATATGTGCTAGAAGTCCAATATTATCTTGAATGGGCATGTGAGTAACTTTTATGAAATGCAATAGTTTGAAAAAGAAACTATTTATTCTATTAATTACCAACTTTGAATTTTACGCACATCCTAAGGAGTTGCCTCTTCCTTCAAGGTACATTCTTAATTTATATTTGTATTTTAATTCTGTAAAAAGAAAATATATTATTTATTTTTTTTCTTAACAAGTCATGAAATTAAGTGACAGGGGATGGTTGTTCTAGAAATGACTGGGTGTCTTGCCACATGTAAATACAACTGATAGTTAGAAACCAAAAGATTTTAAAATCCTGGTGTATTTGCTCCCTGGGATAGTCAATCTAACAAACTTCAAAAGCAACAAAATACTTTGGGTTGTGTCTTAGAATAATAATTGTTTACCTTTGCACCCATTCACATAGGTTTGTGGATAAGCTTTCTGGACTCATTATTTGCCTTAACACTGCAGAATAACTTTTTCATCTATAGGGTTTTGGACTGACAAGGAAGAACTAAAGCAACTGAGGCAAAGTGAAATGGTTTTCAAGCCACAGAAGAAATGGCAAGAATACGAGACAAGCATGGAAAACTGGGTCAGAGCAGTGAAGCGCTCCATGCACTGGTACAGCAAGGCGTAGCCCACGCCCCTGGGACAGAGCTCAGGGACGCCAGCACCGTGAAGGCTGAGAGGGATTTAAAATGAGCTTTGCAGCCTGAGAGTGAAAGCATTGCTTTTTTGGAAACAACAACAACAACAAACAAACAAAAATTTTAAAACTCTCATTTTTTTAAACCCAAACTTTGAAAGATTACATGGCAGCAATACCTCAAAACTTTCTAACTCCTGTTTTGTAGCAAATTGGAATTATTAGGATATTAGCCATTTGCAACTATATTTCGACAGATATGGGCCTTCCTTTTTAAAAAAATACTAGGTCAGTGATACAAAGGAATATAATTGTTTACTCTCCAAATCAGTAGTCCTGGGTCAGAGCCACGGAGCCAGAGATGCACAGAGAGGGGCAGAGACACCTCTGTTTTCCAACTGTCTTGACAGAAGGAATGTTGAGGAGTAAGAGTTGTGAGAAACTTCAGGCCAAGAGTAAAATTGCCATAAGGCAGTTAATCACCTTCCAACATGTTCTCAGGTTATTTGGCCGGCCTTGCATTTGAGCTAGGTTTCTTTTAGATGGGAGGCAGTGATGAGTGTACTTCCCAGTTGGTCAGGTTTTATCACATAAAGTCCTACAGCTAGCTCTTAAATAATAATGTAATTAAGGAAGTGACCATTACAGGGGATTTTTTTTCCTGTATGACCTGGGAAAAACACCCCCTCCAAAAAAACCCAAACAAGATGGAGAAAGAACAAATAAGTTGGTAGAACTGTGATTTAGTGTGTCTTGATCACTACCTGAAAACAAGAATTTTCCAATTTTATTTGTATTTTCCTCAGTGAAATGATATATTGTCACATTAAAAAAATTTTAATTGCAGTTGACATGTAATATGATACTAGTCTCACATGTACAGCATAGTGATTAGACATTTCTATAACTTACTAAATGATCGCCCTGATTAGTCTAGAACCACACATACTATTATAATACTATTGACTGTAGTCAGTACTATTGACCATGCTGTACTTTACATCCCTGTGACTATTTTGTAACTGCCAATTTGTACTTCTATATCCCTTCCCTTTTTAACCCATTCCCCCAACAACATCTCACCCATCTGGCAACCATCAAAATGTCCTCTGTATTCTTGAGTTTGTTTCTGTTTTGTTGGTTTGTTTTGTTTTTTTAGATTCCATGTATAAGTGAAGTCATATGTTATTTGTCTTTCTCTGACGTATTTCACTCAGCATAATAACCTCTAGGTCCATCCATGTTGTTGCAAGTGGTAAGATTTCCTCCTTTGTTATGGCCAGTAGGATTCCATGGTGTACTCAGATGAACCACATCTCCTTTATCCAACCATCTAACAATGGGCAGTCGGGCTGCTCCCATACCTTGTATTGTAGATAACACTGCGATGAACATGGGGATGTTTATATCGTTTCAAGTTAGTGTTTGGATTTCTTTAGAGAAATACACAGAAGTGGATATCCTGTCATATATGTCTGTTTCAGAGACAAATTTGACAGAATTAGGGGTCAAATTGTATTTGTACCAAGTCTATTTCACTGTACCTTAATTGTCTTCTTAAATGATTGTTTTGAAGGTATCATTAATGATACCTTCATTAATTACTCCATCATTACATCATTCATTAAGATTTGGAAATATTTTTGTTATGTTGGGGTGTTTTGTTTACTGTAATAAGTCAGATACCATTATGTAGGTATCACTCTTTTTACTCTTTCTTTTTTATGTTCTTTCTACAAATCTCAGTGGCCAGTTACAGGCTTTATTAAGAAAAGCATATGAAAACTGTTCTGTTGTTTTATTGTTTCTTATAGAGTCTGATTCTCAGTGGATATGATTCCATAGGAAATAATTCTGTCTTTCTGTATTAGGATATACTGGGTTATAATATAAACACCAAAAAAGCTTTAGTTCATCTCTTTTTTCACATTTTTCTTCCTCAGCATAAATCCTTTTAAAAAAGGGGTATTTTTTTAGATGTGGGAAAATAACTTTGAATATCTCTTATTGGAATTGACCATCTCAAAAATCAGGCTAATTTTTGTTAGTCTAGAAGTTACTCTTTTATTCTTAGCATTTTGGGCTGTTTTAATGATACAGTTTAGTAAATCTTTTGTCAGATTTGACCTAAATCAGAAATGTGACCACATTTGCTTTTATTGTTGTTGAAACAGTGATGATCAAAATCATTGAGCAAAAAAAAATTGTCCTTTCCATTTTTCAAGTTCATTTTCACTTGTATGTTAATATTTGAAATATTAAAACATTGTGTGCTAATGTTTCCCATCATGTTCTACTTTACCAGGATGGATCTAGCAGATATTTCTAGGAGGTCTGTTGCTATCTTACCAAGATGAATGTTCCTGTACAGTCTTTCTTAGAGTGGTATTAATTGCTTTTGTACTATGGACTGCTGATTTTTGTTTTTCTTTTATATCTAACATGACATGGTTTCTCAACCTCAGCATTATTGATATTTTGGGACAGATAATTCTTTGTTTTAGGGTGCTGTTTTGTGCTTTAGAGGATATTTTGCAGCATCTCTGACCTCTACTCTTTAGCTACCTGTAGCATTCCCCTGAGTTGTGATGGTTAAAAATGTCTCCAAACATTGACAGATGTACCCCTTGGAGGCAGACTCATCCCCCAGCCCCAGTGGAGAACCACTGATACAGACTGTTAGAAGGAAATTGGAGATTCAATGACTGTAGAGTGTGTCAGTACCCCCTTTCTCTCTGCCTGATTTTACCTTAGAAAGTGATTGTTAGCAAAAGGAGATGGTAGTATATGAAAGTAAGTAGGGTTTCCATTCTGCTGGTCGATGAGCTTTTTGAAAAAGATCTGATTGTAATTGTCCTGCTGTTTTTATCCACCTGCCCACACCCCCATGCCTGCATCCTCTGTGGTCTCACTAAGTGTGTTTATAACTTCAATATGAGATTAATGTTGTCTGTAGATCATCTTTGACATGATCTGCCTTTTGTTTCCTCTTAGTGTTTATGTATTTGCATATGTATGTAGAGATAGACACTCCTAAATACACATACTTACATTCACTTTTGAGTCACAGGTTTTGTGTATTTGACTGCAGATGGCTAACAGATTGAATCTTAAGAAGGTCACTTAACACTATGGTGTTAGAGGAAAGAAACTTTAGAAATAGCCCCTCTGCAAGGGACTTATACTGGGGACAAGTCTTTAATTAAAAGTAATCTAGCCCAGGATTTCGAAAAGAATTTCATAATTCTTTCAGTGGAGATATAACCAGACTCTGGGGATCTTCAAGTCTAAGTGATTCTAGAGTCATCCCAGAGGTGGCCTCGTAGTCTTGACAGCATCCCCAGAGGATTCCGATCCCCGTGGGGAACTTAGATCATGTTTCTGAATTAGAATTAAAAGCCCCAAACACATGAGGGATCTCGCTGGTCCCAAAATCATCCTTTTTCATAGACAAAGCCAAGTAATCTGGTTCAAATCAGTCAAAATGGGTAACCCCAAAGAAGTAAAAAAGGTGATCCAGAATCACATTGTTTTTTTAAGTTTTGGAACCTCATAGCCATAAATGTTTGGTACCAGCATTTATTGTAAGTAACTGGCTCTATTGTCACCATATTCCCACGGGACCCTTACACTTAGATGAATGCAAGAATGATCTTGGGAGTGGGAACGAGAGGGGCAGAAACCCTAAGAATCATATTTCTGAAATTCTCTGTTATTTCATTTCTGCTGTCTTTCCCCCTTTTACTACAAATTTGGTTAATTAAATATAATGACTGTACATATATCTATTAGAAAATAAATGATATAGATTCTAATTTATGTATTTTTTAAAATTTATTTAATCTTTAGAAGGGACAGAAAGGAGAGAAGGAGAGAAATATCAATGTATGGTTGCTTCTGGTGCATCCCTTGCTGGGAACTGGCCCCTGCTGGGAACTGGCCTGCAACCCAGGCATGTGCCCTGATGGGGAATCGAACCGCGATCATCTGGTTTGCAGGCCCACACTCAATCCACTGAGCTACGCCAGCCAGGGCCATATAGATTCTAATTTAAATGAGCCATGGTATTTTAAGAAACTGCCAAATTGTTATCCAGAATGGCTATACTATTTCACATTCCCACCAGCCATGTGCAAATGACTCAGTTTCTCCACATCCTCACCAGCATTTGACATATAAACATAACCCTAAAATTAACCCTAACTATAAACCCAAACCTAAACCTAATCCCAAATCTAATCCTAAGTCTACTTTATTTCTAATACTAACTTTAACCCTAATTCTAACCTTAATACTAACAACACACCTAAAACTATACCTAAACCTAACAACCTTAACCCTAGCCCAACCCCGAACTGAAACCAACTCGAACCCTAAACCCAAACCCAACTTTAACCATGAACCTAAACCCAATGCTAATCCTAACACAAAATCCAACCACAACCCTAGCCCTAATCAAAACCCTAAACCTCCTAAGCTAAACTCAACCCTAAATGTAACACTAACATCACCCATACCTCTAACACCAATACTCTTTAATTTTAGCCAAAACCTGTCCCTAACCATACCCTAATCTTAAATCTAAACCAAGTACTAAACCTCACTCTAAATTTAAACCTAAATCTAGCCTATAACTAATCATAACTTAACTGTATCCCTAACTTAACCCGGTACTTAACCCTAACCTGAACCCAAGACTTACTCTAAATGCTAACTCTAAAACAAACCCTAAACTTTATCTTAACCCTAAACCTCAGTATAACCCAAAACACAATCCTAATGCTAACACTAATCCGAACTCTAATTTTAACCCTAACCAACACTCTTAACCTAACATGTGCTAAATTAGACCTAACTGAACTCTGAATTTAACCCTTGCAGTAATCCTAACCCTAACATAATAAACCAGCCCTAATCTTAATCCTAACCTTAAACGTGAACCTAACTGTAAACCTAAATCTAACTGTAACTTGACCCAAAAGTTAAACTTAAACCCGAAGCCAAACCTTAAATCTAACCCTAATCCACACCCTAAATGTAACCTTGACACTAGCATAACCCTAAAGTGAACCCTCACCCTAAACCTAATCCTAATCCTAACACTGATTTTAACTCTACTATTAACCCTAAACCTTAACAAAACCTTAAACATAACCCTACCCTGACCTAAGCCTGTCATGCTGCCTCTTACCCTAAACCTAGCACTAAACTTACTTCCTGTCCTACAACTAAAACTAACCATAACCATAATCCTAGACCTAAAACAAAAATAAAAACTAACATTAATTTTAACTCTAACCTTAATGTTAAAAATAACCGTGAAGCTAATCCTATTCCTGACCCTAACAATGATCCTAATGCTAAAACTAAACATAACCCTAACCGTAAACTTAGCTCTAAATATGTTATTTTTAAAACTAATCCTAATGCCAAAACCTCAAAATAAAACTTAACACTAATCTTGACCCTTTGCATAAACCTAAACCTGCTTGAAAACCTCACACATAACCTAACTTTAAGCTTAAACCTAACCCTAACCCTGACCTGAACCCTAAAATTAAACTTCAAATTAAACCTAAACCCAAATTTATTTTTTACTTTTTCATTTCTTGATTTTAGAGAAACAGAAGAAGGGAAAGGAGAGATGGACAGACATAGATTAGTTGTTCCACTTGTGTATGTATTCATTGGTTGCTTCTTGTATGTGCCCTGACCAGAGATCGAACCTGCAACCTTGGTGTATCAGGATGACACTTGAACCAACTGAGCTACCCAGCCAGGGCCCATTTTATTTTAAAAAATTATATTAAATATTTTGGGGTAGCATTGATTAATAAGATTGTTTCAAGTGTACAGTTCTACAATATTTAATACATCATCTATATATTGCATGCGTTGTGTGTTCACCACCCAGTCTCCCTCCATCACCACGTATTTGACTTCCTTTACCCTCTTCTGCCTCCTCTGCATCCCTCTTCCCCTTTGGTGACCACCATTCTGTTCTCTGTGTCTATGAGTTTGTTTTGTTGTTTGTTTGATTTGTTCATTTGTTGCTTTTTGTTTTATGTCCCACATATGAGTGAAATCATAGGGTTCCAAACCCCGTGTCTCTTTCCATTGTGGCATCCACCAATGCGAGCAACAAATGGTCGGAAGCTTTCAGGAGTTTAAGATGGAACTTTATTGGCCAAAGCTTTACCTGCGCAGGGGCGAACTCTTGGGATGTCCGGAGACACGGTGCCAAGAGGCTGCAAATGAGAGTCGTGCCTGGCGCTTACAGCCTAGGGTTTTTATTGGGGTGAGCAAGCAAGCAAATACAGAAGCAGAGGTAGCTGTTAGCAATTGGCTATCTCGAGAGAACACACATGGCTATGTTCTCTACTTGCAACAATGGATATTTTTCTGCAAAGACAAGGTCATGCACAAGGTGGTTATCTTGTTCAGCACTCTTTGTACTTTCTGTACTTTCTATCTTCCTCGCTGAATCAGTCTGGAGCCTGCCTCGGGTTCCTCTTGGCTACTTTTATCTAATTCCGGGCCTGACACCATCTGACTTATTTTGCTCAGCATAATATTCATCCATGTTGTTACAGATGGCATTATTTCATCTTTTCTAATGCTTGAGTAGTATTCTTTATCCAGTCATCTAGGGAAGGGCACTTTGGTTGTCTCCATGTCTTGGCCACCATGAAGTATGGGTGCATATATCTTTGTGAATAGATATTTCCAAGTTTTGGGGGTAGATACCCAGAAGAGGTCTTGCTGGGTCATATGGTAGCTCTATTTTTAATTATTTGAGGCTGAGTATACTGTCTTCCATAGTGGCTGTACCAGTTTACATTCCCACCAGCAGTGAACGAGAGTTCCTTTTTCTCCACAACCTCTCCAACATTTCTTATGACGTGTTTTAATGATGGCCATTCTAACAGGTGTAAGCTGATGTCTCATTGTGGTTTTGATTTGCATTTCTCTTAAAGTTAATGAAGTTGAACATCATCTCATATACTATTAGCCATAAAATGGTAAAACTAAAAAAAAAATAAATAAATTGAATTTTTTTGTTGTTGAGTTATATATTTATATATATGTGTATATATATTAAGCTTATATATAAACTTTATATTACTTTTGTTAATATAATATTATGTATCAAGTATATATACTTCCTATTAATGGATATAAATTATATATATATTTAAGTTTAATCTTTATTGTATTTTTCCACTACCATTTAGTCCCCTTATACCACCTTCCCCACAGTGATCCCCACACTGTTGTCCATGTGCATGAGTCTTTTTTCTTTTTTGCTCAGTCCCTTCACCTCCTCACTCCCCCCTGCACCAGCTGTCATCTGCTCTCCATCTGTGAGTCTGTCTCTATTTTGCTTGTTCAGTTTGTTCATTAGATTCCACACATGAATGAAATCATACAGTGTTTTTCTTTCTCTGACTGGCTTATTTCACTTAGCATGATGTTCTCCATACCCATCCATACTGTTTCAAAGGGTTAAATTTTCTTCTTGTTTAAAGCCGAGTAGAATTCCATTGTGTAAATATACCATAGTTGTTTTATCCACTCATCTACTGATGGATACTTGGGCTGCTTCCATATTTTGATGAATGTAAATAACACTGCAGTGAACACAGGGGTGCTTATGTTCTTTTGAATTAGTATTTTAAATTTCTTTGGATATATTCCCAGAAGTGGGATCTTTGGGTCAAAAAACAAATTCATTTTTAATTTTTTGAAGTATCTGCATACTGCTTTCCACAGTGGCTGCAGCAGTCTGCATCTCCACCAACAGTGCAAAAGGGTTCCCCTTTCTCCACATCCTCGCCAGCACTTGTTGTTTGTTTATTTATTAATGAAAGCCATTCTGACAGATGTGAAATGGTATCTCATTGTGGTTTTAACTTGCATTTCTCTGATGATTAATGACATTGAGCATATTTTCATGTCTATTGGCCATCTATATGTCTCCTTTGGAGAAATGTCTGTTCAGGTCTTTTGCCCATTTCATTTTTTAATTAGGTAGTTTGTTTTTGGGGGGGTGTTGAATTTTGTAAGTTCTTTATAAATTTTGAATATTAACCCCTTATAAGATCTGGTGGCAAATATATTCTCTCATTCTGTGGGTTGTCTTTTTATTTTGTTGTTGTTTTCCTTTGCTGTGCAAAACCTTTTTGGTTTGATGTATTCCCATTTGTTTATTTTTTCTTTTGTTTTCCTTGCCTGGGGAGATGTATATGATAAAAAAATTCTATGAGCAATATCCAAGATTTTACTGCCTATGTTTTCTTTTATGACTTTTATGGTTTTGTGTCTAGCATTTAAGTCTTTGATCCATTTTGAATTTATTCTTGAGTGTGGTATAAGAAGGTAGTCTAGTTACATTTTTCTGCATGTATCTGTCCAATTTTCCCAGCACTATTTATTGAATAAACTATCTTTAGCCCATAGTATGTGCTTGCTTCCTTTGTTGAATAGTAATTGACTACAAAGGTGTGGATTTATTTCTGGGGTCTCTGTTGTGTTCCATTGATCTATGTGTCTGTTTTTATGCCAGTACCAGGCTGTTTTAAATACTGTGACCTTGTACTATAGTTTGATACGAGGCATCATTATTCCTCCAACTTTGTTCTTCTTTTCCAAGATCACTGTTGTGATACAGGAGGGCCTTTTGTGGCTCCATATACATTTTTGCAATATTTGTTTTAGTTCTTTGAAATGCGTCACTGGAATCTTGATAGGAATTGCAATATATTTTAGATATTAACCCCTTGTTGGAACTGTTGTTTGCAAATATCTTCTCCCATTCAGTTGGTTTCCTCTTTGTTTTGTTGATAGTTTGTTTCACTGTGCAGAAAATTTTTAGTTTGATATAGTCCCACTATTTATTTTTGCTTTTGCTTCTCTTGCCTTGTGGACCTAAACCCAAATTTAAACCTAATGCTACTTCTAACAAAACCCTAACCTCAACCATAATCTGCATCTGACTCTAAATTTAAATCTAGTTCTAACACTAACTCTAATCTGGATGGTAACTTTCCCCCTTATCCTAATAGTAAACCTAATTATAAACCTAATTCTAACCCTAAACCTAATACCTGAAACCTAACCATAATCCTAAAGCTAACCCTAAGCTTAAATCAAAACCTAACCATCATCCTAACCATAAAACTAAACTTAACCCTAACCTTAAACCTGTATCGTGACCCTAACCCTAATCCTATCTTAACATTAAATTTAACACGGACCCTAACTCTCAATCTTGACAATAACCCTGAATGATTACTTTAATTTTAACCCAAGTTATAACCCTAACTTTAACTTTAACCATAACCTCACCCTAACCTTACTTAACCTTACCTTTTCCTTTACCCTAAACCAAAACCTAATAGAAAACCTACTCTGCCTCTAATTAAACTCTAAATCTAAACTTAACTGTGACACTGGCCTTAAACCTATTTCACTAGCCCTAACACTAAACCTAACACTAACCACAACCATAACCCTAACTCCACCCTTAACCTTAAACCTAACTGTAATTATAACCATAACCATAACACTAACATGAAGTTCTAATCCTAAATTCTAGTGCTAACTCAACTTAAACCAACCCAGAGCCCTCATTCTAGGACTTACTGTAAACCTAATCCTAACCATAACCTTGACTTAACTATAAAAAACCCTAAAACCCAACCAAAGCCTAACTCTATTCCTCATTTTAAATTCACCTCTAACACTAACACTAACCCTAACACTAACTGCACCTAACACTAACTTACCCTAAACCTTAATTGTAACCCTAATTTTAAGCCTAATATGAACACTGAAAACTGACTCTAACACTAACCCTAATCTCTAGTCTTAATACTCAATGCTAGCCCTAATTTTAAATCAAACCCCTAAGGTTAATCTTATCCCTGTTACTAACACTGACCTAACCCTAAACCTAAACTTAACCCTAATATTATACCTAAATTCTAATTGTAACATTAACCCTAACACTAATCCCAACTTTAGAATCAACACTAAACGATAATCCTAAATCCTAACCCTGACACAAAACTGACACTAAAATTTATACCAATTCTGACCTTACCACTACCACTAAACCAAACATTAAACCTAACCCTAACCATACAGGTAAACCTAAACACAACCCTAACTGTACACCTGATACTAAAACTCTCACTAACCCTAACATCAGCATCATGGTGGAGTGGCAAGACTCCTTGGTATCTCCCTTTAAAATCACAATGAATTGGACAACTGCGATTCAACAGAGGATTCCTTGCTCCACACCTGACCATGTCAGAGAGATCCACACTTTGGGCCACCCGAGGGTGGGCTTGTCAGAACAAGCAGAGGAGGCAGAGATGGGGCCCACTCAGCTGATGATGGTGGTGAAAAGAGTCAGACTGCAGCCCTCATGCAGCATATACTGCGGGGCCTGAGAGGCGGAAGTGATGTTCCAGCCGAGACGTGGCACAGCAGTCGGGTGGCAGCAGACTGGCACCATTACTAGAAAGAAGGCAAAGCCACGGTCTCTTAACCCTCCCCTGCACCTCCCTCTTGTGGTGGAACCTGGTAGAGGCAGTGGAGGTGGCAAGACAGCACAGTGTGGCTGGTGGCCTCTGGTCACAAAGAGGCAGCACAGGAACTCCCCAGCCCGGATCCCCACCACTGGCCACATTACACCTCAGAGGTAGGTGCTGAGATGGAGGTGACCTGGGCTCAGAGGGAATGCACACTACTTCGGGAATACGGGGCATTTCCACTATTGAAGTGTCAATGCCACACTGAGATCCTGGAAGCTGGTAGGAGAGAACAAACACTTGCGCTATTGCACCATCTACTGGGAAACAAGAGAAAGACCACTTAGCAACCTGCTGAATTGTTAAGAGCAAAATAGTACCTAAAATTATACAGGTTTCAAATGTACGGTTTTATAATATGCCATCTGTATTTTGTATTGTGCGTTCACCACCCCTCAAATCTCCTTTCATCACTGTATATTCCCATTTTACCCTCTTCTCCCTTGCCCCACCCAATGTCACCCCAATAAATTCACTAAATAAATAAATAAACAAACAAACAAAAAAGAAGAAGGGACTTCCGCCAAGATGAAGGCATAGGTGGATAAGCTGTGCCTTCTCACACAACCAAGTTTAGAGACAACTAAATATTAGCAACAGAAAACACAGCCAGAACACAGAAAACTGAACTTTTCGGAAGTCTGTTAACAACAAATTCTTCAGCCTGACCGGTAAGGGGCGAAACCAGCAGCTGGTGGAGCGGGGTTGCACAGGAAAACTCGGTCCTACGGACTCAGGCGTGCGGAATCCAGGCGCCTCCAGGCGTTGGACCTAGTGAGCAACCAAGCGAGCAACCGTGGGGAAACAGCGAGGGAGCAGGACTGCGGGTTGAGTGTGGTCACACATTTGTGTGCAGATAGACAAGCGAGGGAGTGGGCGGTTGGACTGGGACCCAGCGGGTCCCCGCAGCAAGCGGCAGGGAGGGCGCCGCCATTTCCCTGCTCTGACCCCACCTCCACATACAGCGTCATAACCCAGCAACTCTGAGTGGTCCCGCCCAGGTGAACCACCTAAGCCTCTGCTCCTCACCCAGCGGCACAAAACAGCAGAAGGTGCCGCCATTTCCCCGCTCTGACCACGCCCCCACATACAGCATCACAACCCAGCGACCTGGGAGTCCAAGGCTCTGCTCCTCACACTTAAAGGGCAAGAACAGACCAAAAATGGGTCAAGAAGATCTCAAAGCCCCAGAGCTGATAAATCTAAGCGATGAAGAAATAGCAAAACTCTCAGATGCACACTTTAAAACACTGGTGATCAGGATCCTCACAGAACTGGTTGATTATAGCCACAAATTAGACAAATATATGAAGGCGAAACTAATTGAAATGAATGGAATTGTACAGGACACCAACAGCAATGAAAAGGAAACTGGGACTCAAATCAATGGAGTGGACCAGAAGAGAGCAAATAATGGCCAAACAGAAAAGAGTCAAGAAGCAAGAATTCAAAGAAATGAGGAGAGTCTTAGGAGCCTCCAGGACATCTTTAAACGCTCCAACATCCAAATTATAGGGGTACCAGAAGGGGGAAAGGCACAGCCACTAGTGGAAAACTTATCTGAACAAATAATAAAGGAGAATTTCCCCAATCTGGCAAAGGAAATAGACTTCCAGGAAGCTCAGAGAGTCCCAAAGAAGTTGGACCCAAGAAGGAACACACCAAGGCACATCATCATTACATTAGCCAAAATCAAAATGAAGGAGAGAATCCTAGAAGCAGCAAGAGCTAAGGGGACAGTCACCTACAAAGGAGTCCCCATCAGACTGTCAGCAGATTTCTCAAAAGAGACCTTTCAGGCAAGAAGGGGCTGGAAAGAGGTATTCCAAGTCATGAAATCCAAAGACCTACAACCAAGATTGCTCTATCCAGCAAAACTTTCATTTAGAATGGAAGGACAGATAAAGTGCTTCTCAGATAAGATCAAATTCGAGGAGTTCATCATCACCAAGCCCTTATTCTATGAAATGTTAAAGGGACTTATCGAAGAAAAAGAAGTTAAAGAAATATGAACAGTGAAAGGACCACAAACTCACAGTTATTAACAACCACACCTAAAACAAAAGCAAACTAAAAGGACAGCTAGATCAGGAGTGGAAACAGAAATGAAGATCTCAAGGAGGGTTAGCAACAGGGGAGTGGGAGGAGGAGAAGGGGGGAGAAGGTACAGAAAATAAGTAGCATAGACAGTAGATAGAAAATAGATGGGGCAAGAATAGCATGGGGGATATAGA